TGAGCAGTCTGGGCCATAGACAGTTTTGCCTATACCATTTTCTGTGATAGATCGGTCGAGACAAAACCATAACAAACTGAGTGAGTGGTACTGGTTCTTGCTAGCTTTTTCGTGGCGGCCATTTTGAAAGGCGAAGGGTACGGCGGAACAGAATTTCATAATTTCAAGCGAGACATCATTGACGTATTTATTGACTTCACTATATGTTGAAAGAAAAAAGTTTGTTTAACCGTGTTCAAAATTTACAAATAAAGAGAGTTCTCTTCTGACCGTGAATTCAACAAGGATTAAACACGAAACAATGAATAGGAAGAATCAAAAATGTAAGAAAGATATTTTCCAGGAAATTCATCTACAGAAATTAACTTGACGCAGAGCAACAGACTACGAGTAGTCCCTCCTTTTCGGCTAAGTCCGTCGCGTGAGTAAATCAAACTCAGTGGAAAAAAAAAAAAACTGATGCAAGCGCACTGCGGGGAATTCTTGGGGTGACACAGATACACTCGCCTCACTCATGGAGCTCCTGTGGCGTATCAACGTTACTCCGAGAATTCCCCGCGGCGCGAACATCAACTTTTTTCGCTGACTTTTTTTTTTTTTGACGCGTACGATGGACTTCGCAGAGCAATTTTATATTCTATTATTGGATGGATTAACTTTTTTTTTTTTCCAAAAAAGAGCTTGTTACCGCTGAGACTGAGCAGGCCTGTTCACATATAACAAACATATAACATATAACAAACAATTGTCACAAATTGGCAGACATACAGAATTGATTATGATGGTCTATAGACTGATATTGAAACAGAAAACAATGTTGTAGTGCCACCTACAAGAATCACTAATACTTCTGCTTCACTGATTGACGTTATATTTACATCTAGACCGCGATCATTTCTGTCTTCTGGAGTCTATGGTACAGGTATAAGTGATCACAGTTTGGTTTATGCTGTAATGAGATCTCATTGTCCAAGACCTTGATTGACGTTATATTTACATCTAGACCGCGATCATTTCTGTCTTCTGGAGTCTATGGTACAGGTATGAGTGATCACAGTTTGGTTTGTGCTGTAATGAGATCTCATTGTCCAAGACCTTGTGTGGAAATTAAGAACAAAAGAAACTTCAAACACTTTGACCGTGATGTTTTCTCAAGAGACGTCAGTCAAATTCCTTTTCCTTTAAAAGTACACACAACCCACAATTCCTCTATTCGCTCCGACGAAGGGCTAACGCTCGAAACGTCAGCTTTTGTAATCGTT